AGGAGGCGGATCTACGCTCTGGATAGGTGTGATTTGGACATAAGGAGGCGGATCTACGCTCTGGATAGGTGTGATTTGGACATAAGGAGGCGGATCTACGCTCTGGATAGGTGTGATTTGGACATAAGGAGGCGGAGCTGTACTGTCAGGCTCCAGTTATATACAGTATCTGTTTGAACCATGGATGCCAGGAATATTTACTGTACTAGCATATTAGCTTGCAAGCCAGAACTGAGCAGGGAAATACTAGGGTTCTTTAAATTAAATGATTATTTTGAAGTTTATATCACTACTGTATCTGATTCAATTTGGATTGGATGTGGTAAATGAATGCACTTTATCCATTACGATGAGCAATTTGTCATCTTTTACTCATTATTTCATATTATAACGTCTAGGTTTTGAAGAACATAGTTCAGAAATAGAAATTCTATTTTGAATTAGAACTTTTTATTCATAACTCCCATAACCGCTGATCCAGTGCAGGGTCATGGTGAACCTGGAGCCTACCTAACAACTATAGGACATGAGGCAGGAGACACCCTAGACAAGATGCTAGCTGACTGTAGGGCACACATGCTCATGCACGCAGTCACACACCAGGGCAATTTAGAGCTCCTTTGGGAAGGAGCCACTCAAACACAACCACTCCAGTGCTACTAGCCTGATGCTAAACACTTAACCACTGGGTGAGCTAATGCCTGTCATTGTGTGCTAAATTGTACATTATAAAGCACTACAGTATGGTGCTATGGTGCTATGCTCTGTAGGAAGAGCTTTTGGCTTCATTGATGGGTTTATTCTGGTTCTGCACCTCAAGTAGCGATAAACAGTCTTGTGTCTTTTTAAGTCTTGTTAACAAATGATTTTTCTGGGAAGATGGGACGCCTCCATAACTCCAACATCTTCAGCTAGACAGAAACTCTGTCCAGTATCGTTTGGAGCACGTTTGTCTCATGGATAATATCCATCCATCAATCCATCATCTCCTAACCTGATGCCTATCCCACAAAGTTCTGGGCCCTCTGCAGAGGAACATCCTGGACAAGGTGCTAGTTCCTCACAGGGTACACACGCTATAGTATGCTAAGGTGATTTGAAGACACAGATTCGCTTAAAATGTATTCACATTCAGTCATTCCTTAGGAGGAAAACTGGGGCAAATGCATGCAAACACTGGGAGAATGTGCATACTGCCTACACAGAAAAGAGAATCCTGGAAATGTGGGGCCCCAATGCCAACCATTATGCATCACCGTTCAACAGACATATCTGCATAATCTTTATGTGCAAATGCAGGAGGCGCTGCATTATACTCTGCCATATTTTACATTATGTTATATACATACATCTGCCTATTTTAGATCAGGGGGCTCCCCAAACTGTGTAATATTTCCATTTTGTAGACATAAATGTACCACTGATCATTTTAGTGCTGTAGCATTAAAAACTGGCATGTCAGGGTTGCCACTCGAACCTCCCCATGTCACAGGGAATTTTTATAAACACTTATTACACTTATAACCAGGAAAGTATTCTTTACATAGGAGTGCTGACAGCTTCAGCAGGCAAAAGCCCAGTTAAAAATATACAAGATCAAATAAATCAATAATCCCTGCCTCACTGAGCCCACAAATGAGGGGAAAGGGGATTGAAGGGTAAAAGGCTTAGGGCTATAACCTAGCGAGACACATGCTCTTTGAAAACCACTTGTAAACCTAAGTGAACAGTGTAAGCGAGGTAGAAGGGAACAATATGATGCAATTCAATGGCTGGGAGTTTTCTTTCATTTTGTCTTTCTTCCCCTTTTTTCAGAAAGTTCAAGAAAAACAATGTCAACATCAATTTGGTCTGAAATTCTGATGTGAGGCTACAGTCATATTGTATGAGTTGTAGCTACAATATGTTTTACATTTATTTTTCTATTTTCCAGTTTATTTCTTAACCATTTTGGAGGCCAGTGTGTGTCCCAACAGCTGAGCATATTTGAAAGAGATTGCATTTTTTTTCTTTACCTATCACTGTGAAGGTAGGAGCCGTGAGCAGAGGTCCACCTGAGAAGTCTGAGCTGGATGATAGATTGTTATCACGCATATGACCATCCAAAGATGAGCTTCTGGAGGGGACTGTCAGTAGCTGTCTGATGTGCCTTTTTGAAAATTCACGTTCAGACATGATTCCTTCATTCTTTTGATCTAAACCAATGCTCCTATCACTCAGTCTAGCCACGAACATGAGAACAAGTCAGGTCCAAGAAATCCATGCAGAGTCTTGTAGGAAACTGGGTAATAAGAACATCTGTGATTCTCCAAAATGTTCTTTGCTTATTCAGTGATACGGTTACACGATTCCTTTTCCTGTAAAATAGAAAACAGGTCAGAATAGTTCATAGTTTACAAAGAATGCAAATAAGGGACAGAGGAAAAAATACAACCCAAACAATGACTTAAAAGTGAAATTTCACATATCAGGTTATTTAAATGTGAGATAGCTTATTATTTCATATTGAGTATTTTATGGTTTAAAATATAATTTCAGTAGTTATTAGTAGACATTTTAGGTCTTCATAAACCGTGTTGCAGTTATGACAGTAATCTATCATCATGTATGGAATATTAAATCTATAATTAAGTTTTTAAACACACCAGTGACTCTGTTCAATGTTCTCTTATGTTTATGTAGGAAAAGTTACTTTATCTTCAAGTTTCCTTTTATTCAAATCTATTTTAAATGCTCTGCTATATTTATTTGTATAATAATTTTACTAACATATACAAGTAAAATGACACATCTAATCCTGCAATTCTGGGAACTGTAATAATACTTTATTTTGCCCTCTCACAATATTTCGCTAAAACTTAATAATCATGTATCTGCCACTAGTTTATGCTACATTAACGCATTAATACCCCGTTAACCTGTCTGCCAAAAACAGTAATTAGTACAATAAGAAGTATTTTCCACTCGCTGATTTCCTTAATATCTCCATGCAACAATGTTGTTCATTTAGTAAAAACAGACATAATGCACAGAAATTCTGAAAATCGGGGCTGGTTAAATACTGTACCATCCCACTGTACCCCATTTGTTTGATTATTGGTTATTGACTACCTCTGCTGTTTTGTCCGTGTAAAACATGTATTTCGATTGGCAACAAGAGCATTGTCTGTGGAACAGGATGAGCACAAGCCTCAGCAGACAGCAGGATTATAAACACGCTCATTGGATATTGTCTGTTCTGCAGCTGTGCGCTTTTATGGTTATCTCCGCTGTGAGTGGCCAGGAGCAGCCCAGTGTCTAATGCGTACTGTGGTTAATCAGGTGCATCACCACTGTAATTGATTACCAGCCTTGAGCCAACAAGTGGCTCGGATAATGAAAACCCAGCTGGCCCTTATTAGACTGCTGCCCTCATTATGGTTTAAATCTGGTCAGCTGGGTGGTTCTACGGGACCATGTCATTCGCAAATATGTTGAAATGAAAAGATAGGATAATACTTATAGTTTTTAAAGGGCATTTAATTTTTTTTTACTCTTCTGTCTGTCCTCTGTTTAAAACCTCTTTTCCCCTTTTCCTACAGCTTGTTTTTCATTTTAAGGAATGACTGTCATAAAGAGCAGGGGGAAGTCACAAGGATTCCTAAGAAATTTGGAACTAAATTGGATCGGCCAAATATGATATGCTTTCATGGGGTCCAAATTCTCTAGCGGAGCCCATGGTAAAGAGGCATCTCCTTGTGAATAATAGATGAATTCTGTTTTCATTTTGATGCAGATATCACAGCAAAAGAGTTTATCGAACGCCCGGCCAACATGAGGAGCCGATACGAGTTGTTCCGGGACTTTCTGTCTGAAATGCTACCTGCCAGTCCTGACAAGATAGACGTCTTCAGCCTGATGGACGTGCAGGAGCACTCACTGGATATCCACTTCTCTGTGATGGGCGCCCCCTATGTGAAGCCAGAGAGATTGCATGGGTATCTTTCTGCTCACAAGCAGAAGGTATGTAAATCATCATATTCCTGCCTGTTCACTGTGGATGTGTGTGTGTGTGTGTGTGTGTGTGTGTGTATATATATATATATATATTTATATGTGTGTGTGTGTGTGTCTCACTATATTTTTATAGAATTAAAACTTCTTTTTAGATTGTTTCTTAGGTCTGTCTATACATTACGGCATTATATATTCATATATTCTCTACTCTAATTTTATATTCTGACAATATTTGTCTTGATTCTCTACGCCTCTCTTCCGCTGGCTGTGAGAACGGCACGGTGTTTCAGTTGTGCATTTGTTTCAGGGAAGGAAGTCATGGCTGAACCTTAACCACAAACATTTTCTCTGTCTTAGCAGAGGCTGTTCCTCGGTTGCTCTTGTTTTTTAACGGTGTTTGCATGACATTCCGCGTCCTCCGAAGATGAAAGTAACGCATTTTAGATACGGGCATAGAGGTGTAGCCCTGTATCTCAAAGGCTCTTTGTCATTTCCAGTTTAGCAGTGAGCCTCTGCAAAGCCTGTCAGCCAGACCTCAGAAATGAAATTGTGAAACTAAATCGCCCCGCAAGTACAGAATGTCGCACATGAACACTGTGGTGTTCACATCCATGGGAACGCTGGAAGTTGGGCTGCGCGCTGGCTTCACTGGCTGCGCGCTGGCTTCACTGGCTGCGCGCTGGCTTCACTGGCTGCGCGCTGGCTTCACTGGCTGCGCGCTGGCTTCACTGGCTGCGCGCTGGCTTCACTGGCTGCGCGCTGGCTTCACTGGCTGCGCGCTGGCTTCACTGGCTGCGCGCTGGCTTCACTGGCAGGCTTGTTTGCCATGTGGCAGATGGGCTGGTTATTAGCGAGCTTCATAAAGAAACTGGTGCACAGCAATATTGCAGCCTAAGTGCTTGAGATTCCCATGTACATCTATGGTCCAGTGAGACCCAGTAAGTACAACAGCCCCAGTCTTTCCATAAAATTTAATATGGGTAGCAGAGTGGGGGTGGGGGGGGGGTGATTTAGGTACAGTCCTTCTTTGAGGATTCTCTCCATTACAATTGAAATGTCTCACATTGTCTAATTTCCATTTTCTGCCGATGTCTTCGGGCAGAGCCTGGTGTGATGCCTTCTAAGCACACCGTGCCTATCCAGGGGGCATAATCCCTGCCTTTCTGTGTATCTTAGTATCTCAGTGCTGTTTATGTAAAGCTTTCCAGCAGTGCACAGGCTTCTCATAAACCTCTTTGGTCTACAAGGAAAAGCTGTAAGAGTAGGCTTAGGGGTATTTCTCTGTGCTCTGTCACGTTGATGTGGGTGCCTGGTACCAGGTGTCTGAAGGTCTTTGATCTAATAGATCTGGACTCTTTGTTTTTAACCATGTAGATGGGGACGTGGGCTCTCATTGCACCTAGCTTAATGTGCAGATTTGCAATGCAAACGACTTCTCCAGTGGGAGATGCTCTTGATGAAGTGGAATAGAGAGTCTGGGTCCACACAGTGTGATTTTCTTTTTTGTTCTCCTTCACCCTCCTTGATTATATCTGTATACAAATATCTAATCTGGAAATGGTTTGAACTTCATGTTCCGTTGGTTTCCTTGAGGACACCTGAATGCTCGGATTTACCATGGTGTTTCATGTGAACAAGAGGGCCGAGGCCAAGATGAGTTCATAGTCAGGCCTGGTGGGATTGTGGGATTGCATAGGGCAGGGGTATGAAACTGCCGTCCTGGGGGGCCGGAGCCCTACACATTTTTGGGTTTCGCCTCATTTAACACACCTGATTCCACTCCTTGTTCCTCCTTGTGCTAATTACCACACAGCTCTTGAGCTGAATCATTCGTGGTGGAATAGGGATAGAACTAAGCTACACAGGGCTCCGGCCCCCCAGGACTGCAGTTTGACACCCCTGGCATAGGGCCTGAGCGTGAATCATCAGAAACCTCACAGCTGGTAGCCTTCCCCAAAACGACAGCAGTACAGTGTGGATTTCTGAAGCCCAGTGACACTGGCTCCACCCTGGCATTAGCATTAGCATTAGTATTAGCATTAGCATTAGCCTGATTAGCTGGCAGCAGCTTGCACTTTAGCTAAGGCTAGGTGCAGATAGTCATTTGTTGTGATAGAGCCAGTAGCTATGCCTACAAGTACGATTCTGGTTCTGAACCTTACATATTGTCTGTAGATAATGATTTGAGCTAAACAAGCAAATGTCATCAATCACTGAACCATCTGAGTTTTTTTACCCACTTCTAAAAAGTTGTGATGCAGGTCTGCTTGTCAAAAACTATAAAAAAAAAAAAAAAAATCTGTTGTTTCACTTTATATGGATAGAATTTAGTTAAAGAATTATGGTGTGATTAATTGGGTTCATTTCATCATAGCATTTCGCTGTTTTTATATATCATTGATCAAATTAAACTTGGATAATTAAGTATTTATTACTGCAATTTGTATCTGTCGGGAAAACCTGTCCCCTTGTTTTCTCACTCAGATGTACATGTGAAGGGATACTGCACAGAATAATTATCAGTGCTCTTTTATCCAGCCACTGAAGCTGTTGCAGTCTTTCTTCACTCTTTCTTTGTTCCCCCCTTTCTTTCTCGTCTCTCTCATCCCACCCAGCTGCAGTCCTTCCTCCAGGTTAACGTCACCCGCGTGCATGTGGACCCGTGCACGGATGCGGCATGTGGGCAGAGTGGAGGCTGCTCTAGTCGCCTGGAAGTGGGCGAGACTCCCACTGTAGTGGATTCCGGGCGCGTGTCGCTGGTGTCACTGACTGTGACGGCCACCATGGCATGTGGCTGCGCTGGACGTGAGGAGACACACAAGACGTGCAGCTCTTACCACCAGAACCCCTGTTACAATGGAGGCACGTGCGTTGACAGCCAGAGTGGCTACAGGTGAGGCCACCTACTTAACAGCTTATAAAGAATACAGCACATACCGCCTGTACTGAGAGCTTATGAAGAGTACGGAACAGGCCGCCTGTACTGACAGCTTATGAAG